TAAATTTTGGTGTGAATTAGTAAAACAGCTTTGAGCTTGCCTTTTCCCGAGGTTGGATTTTGTGGGAGTGGTGGATCCACGGCTTCCCTGGGATAAAAATGAGCTTTTCCTCCACGTGTGCTGAATTAATTTCAATTCAGAGCAGCTCGTTCCGAGCTCATTTATGCAAAGCACTCCACTCACTGTGCCAGCACAAGGGAGGGAAGGAGCAGCTGGGAGTGGAGGAGGATTTTTTTTGGCACAAGTGCCAATTCCTGTCAGTTTAAAGCCATTATGAAACTCTGGGAGGGATTTGGGATCGATTGAAGCTGATCTGAGGCCGCCCAAAGGGAGGAGATCTGTCAGTTCTGCCTGCCTGGTTCCCAGCCTGTTCCCATGTGTGCAAGACTTGGAAAAAAGAGAGGAGCTGGGGTGGTTTTTGGCAGGTTTAGGGAATCAGGGCAGGATAATAAGGGCCAGACTCCCTAAATTCTTTGTATTTTCAAGCCTTTGCTACTAAAAAGGTTTATTCCAACCAGCTGGTTCTTCCCATATTCCACTTTAAAACGCCACAAAACACCGTAAATAATTTACTAAAGCTCCCTTTCCAWGCATGGAAATCGTGGGCTCATCCCAGGGATGGGATTTGATTGGAGCTGGGACAGTCAGAGCTCCCCAGCTGCACTGGGAAGTGAGATATCCCCAGGGACAGCATCTGTTTTAAAGGATCTGAGGTTGATAATGGGTTGCTTTTCCAAAGGTTCCATCCTGGGACTGTTTTCAGGAAATGGTGTTGTGCTTCTCCAGCTCCTTGGCTCRGCTTTTTTATTCCATAAATAATTTCAGGCTGGAGTTTTATCTCCTTTGCAGACTTGAGGCTCTGCTACTCTTTGTTTATGGGGTTTGTTCCCTCAGGGAAGAAGGAAAAGATTTGGAAAACAAACCCCTTAAGGATTTTCTTCACTGCCACGAGTAAATCTGCAGCTTTGGGGCTGTTTTTCCTRCAAAATGTTTTTAAAATGACGCCTGAAGAGTGGGAAATAAGGAATCACRAGGCTGATGGGTGGAATTAAAGCTTCCTTGCTGGAGATGGTCCTATGGAGCACCAGGAAAACCTCCCCCTCATGCCTGRCTGTGGGAACAGAGGATGGGGACAGGGACAGGGAATGGGGACAGCTGGATCAGGTTCACATGGATACAGGAGATCTCAGAATCCTGGAATGGTTTGGGTTGGAAGTGACCTTGAAGATCATTCCRTTCCAATTCCTGCCATGGACAGGAACACTTTTCACTATCCCAGATTGCTCCAAGCCCGTCYAGCCTGGCCTTGGACACTTCCAGGGATGGGGCAATCACAGCTTCTCTGGGAATTCCATTCCAGGGCYTCCCCACCCTCACAAGGAAGAATTTCTTCCCAMTATCCCATCCATCCCTGCCCTGAGTYCTGGCCCTCCATCCCTTGTCCCAAGTCTGTGTCCACCTCTCTTGGAGCCCCTTTAGGCACTGGAAGGGGCTCTAAGCTCTCCCTGRATCTTCTTTTTTCCMGGCTGGACATYCCCAGCTGTCCCAGCCTGGCTCCAAATTTCCAGTTCCCAAACAGAGAAGTTCTGTTCCACACATTTCACTAATTGCCACTTTAATGAGCCTCAAAAGCTGCAGATGTGGAGAAAGAATGGAAGGAGAAATYTGGGATAAAATATCACCCAAAGTCCAACACAATGGACCATGGAACCAATGGGCCGGGGACAGGTGGAGAAACAACCAAGGCCAGGAGAAGGAGAAATCAGCTCCCCTTTTCTGTGCAGA